AAAATGCATAATAACAAAAAATAATCACCTCAAAATCAAACCCTAGTAAGTCAATAGGAATGTGATACTTTCTTGCATAGTTCTGCATTGCACCAGTGAGAAAAGCTTGAGTAAAGAAGAATCCAGACAGCCAAAATACATTAGGCTTATTTGTGTCATGCCACTTCTGTAACAAAAGATTCAATGTTTTTAATTAACTTCCAATAAACAGTTAAATTTCTTTGTAACAAAAAAAATAAAAAATCTTACTTGCAAAAACTTCAGCCTTGCAAGAAAGTCATTTATGTAGCTGCCCAAGGGTTTGAGACTGGGATAAGAGCGCTTGGCCCACCTTTCTGGCACTTTCCCCACTATTAAACTGCCAGCCACCGCCTCCAGCTCAGCATCCATCACCACTAACCCCTTGATGGCTTTGAGCAGGTTCTGGATGCTAACACGGATTGTAGTGCACAACCTAACAAAGCAGAACAATGGGTTGAGATCAAAAAGACTTTTTGTAAACGTTTGTAAAAGTTATGGGGCTTACGTGTTGTAACGCTCCATCTCCTGAACCAACACAGTGTTCATACTCTCCTCATAGCGAACAGGGAATTTCAAAAGAGCTGTTTCTATGTCAAAATTCTTTGGCAGCTAGAAATAAACATACATGATGGGCCTTGAACAGTAGTAATACGAGTATAATTTTATGCACTTCAATTTTATGTGTACCTTGGTGAGAATATTATTGGCTATGTCATAAAGCGTGCTGTCACTCCCAGAGCTGCTTCCACCTATCCCTCCTCCTCCTTGAGTAAGTAGCAGTGAATCAAATAACAGTTTTGTTTGTTGAAGATCTTTGGAAACATCTACATTTTCATGCATCCCAAAAACCTCTGGGTGCTGGGTGAATGGTAGTTCCTTTAAAACATGACACAGACACACATTTTACCAACATAATTTCCACATTGCATTCTTTTCATTATTATTTTACCTTGATGAATTCTATATATCCTTCATATGCAGACTTAGGTGGTGCACAGTAATCTCCACTGGGTGAGAAGGCATAGTGAGGTTTCTTGATGACGTTGGTGTTGTAAAAATCAGCTAAAATGGTCAACAGCAGTCGTCTGTCCCAGTCATCAGTCACCCTGCCTCCATAGTTACACTCTCCAGTCAAATACGTTATAGCTTCAAATGGCACCTCATCGTATTCATTAACAAACAGCTAAAAAGAGAAAAGAGTAAAACTTTAACACCATTTTTTTTCTTTATTTCATCATTACTATACTGTAAAATATACAATAAATAATACAAATAACAATACCTGGAGCTGTCTGATGCTTATGCGCAGATCAGACTCATTAAAACCATATGGAATATTCCAACCTAGTGGACCAAATTGTTTTCTCTCCTGAACAAGAGCATGGAAGAAACATAGTCCATACAAGAGCTTCTCCCAGATCTGAAAGATAAAATTTAAATGTTTATCATCAATACAGAAATTGTGTAGTAACCTTTTGTAAATGGGTATCTATAATCTTCTTACCATCTCTTTATTGGGACAACTGCTGAAGAAGTTTGGATCAGATATCGGATCAGACAGATAAGACTGGAGAAGATTTTGTCGAAGACCAGTAGGAGGCTCATTTGTCATTTTAACACCATTTTGTAGAATTGTCACTGGAAACTAAAGGGAGACAAACCACATTGCTTTATATTAGGATTATCAAATTACATTTTACCAAATAAAATAGGCTAGTATTGCACCTTTGCAGATGGGTAGCTTGTAAGCCAAAGTCTAAAGTCAGGATGGCATGTTTCTGGGCTTAGGTCTTCACAGATTTTCTCTAGAGTGGACATCCAGGAAATGGCCAAATGACAGTTTTGCAGACACACCCACGACCCGTCCTGCATAGCTGTCGCAATCATTTTTGCAGCAATGGGACCTTGGCCTTGTCCCAAAGATATAGACTGGAACTTTGTAGCCGCCATGTTCTTGTCAGTGGCAAATTTGAGCAAACCTTTGGAAAGAATATTTTTTTAGATGACAACTAACAACAGATGTCATATAAAGTAGTACTTAATGAAACGAAAATATGCAGCATAAGTTGAAACATGTATACAAAGAAAAATACTTACTGGCCATAGGATCCGCTCCAGGACACAGAACAAATACAAGTGGAATGGTGGCGTTAGAGTCTTCATAACTTTTACTTAGGTCAAAAGGAGGTGGTTGGACAAATGTCTTCCCCAGTTTGTCAGTCAGATATTTGGTAATAGCTGGTACCATCTTATCAGGTCGTAGACAGCGAATTATGATTATCTTCTGAAGCTCATTGAGTTTTTCACACCAGGGTGCAGGTAGAGGAGTGTTTGCTGGATCTTTGCTATCATATATCACCTTGAATTCCCCAGGGTTTTTGATAAAATCATTTCTGTATGCATAAGATTGTAATTAACCCAAGTATAACTTAAAAAAGGAGAAAAATGCAGAAAATGTAAAAGTTTAGGCTCAACTTACTTTATGCCCTGTAAGCCCGGGAGTTCATTGGCTCTGCAGATCTCATCCCAGTTCTTGTCCTGAAGCCAAGAGGGGTCAGGGTTGGGAATGGTGTTTTGTAGGCCTACTCCTCCAGTCAGCAAAAACATAAACTGGGAGTATTCAATCTCATTCTTTGCCCTGTACACAAAAGGTATCAAGATCAAGATCTAATATTTGTAATTTGAATATTAAAATTGGTGTTTTAATATACTTACAATTGTATGTTACAACAGAGGAGGAATGAAAAAAGAAGTTTGTCTTTCTCAAATAATGAGCGGCATACATTGGAGTATAAATTGTAGGTGAAGTGATCAATGAGGTACTGAAGACGCCTCTCCAGTATCTTTGACTTATTGCTGATAAAAATAAGATAATTAAATAGATAATATGAGTCATTTATGCATAAATCATGTAAAAAAATGTAAAGGGTTAATCTATTTTCACGTTTCTGTTGGCAAATACTTACCTGTCTTGGATAGAATTAATGTATAGGTTGACAAACCAGCTGAGAGAATACTGGTACATGGGGTCTATATTGCTCAGGTCAGCAATACTGAAGAACAGTGTAGATGAATGCTTTGCTATTGGTCTATAGCCTTCTCTAGATTCTGCTATTTTGACCTCTGTTTTCTCTGCAATCTGAAACACAATTTCAGAATGTTAGTTTTCATGTTTTATGTTATTGTTTGTAACCTTTTTGTTTACAGACCTGCTGTTTCTTTGTTATCTCGTTTGACAAAATCTTAGCAGAATCTAAAATCTGAATTGCAGACTCATCTTCCAGAATATTCCCCTTTGAGGATTGTAATGTTTCCAGTATTTTGTCTTCAGTTTCCTTCAGCTGTCTTTTATTGGCTGCTGACTGTAAGATTAAGGCATTTCTTTCCTCCTCCAGCTCTGGTCTGTGGAGCAAATGGAGCACAAGCAATTCTCTGCAAACTCTGACAGACATATAAATTTGCTATATAGCATTATGAGTTTGAACACTACCTTTCCTTGGCAACTACAATCCCCAAAAGCTGGTCCTCTAAGCCTTCAGGGGTTATCATGAAATTAAGCAGAGACACTTTGGTGGATAGTTCGGGCAGATAGTGTGGGTTTCTTAGTTTAGTAGTGATGTAGAAACGGAAATCAGAAGAGTACTCAATCACACTCTCTCCAAGTCTGATATAGTCAACACCTCCTAGAACAGTACAAGACTACAAATTAATATAACATATGTAAATAAGATCAGTCTACTTAGCTATATTTGCATCACCTTGTTTGAATGTCTGCTTGAGGAGCAGTGGTTCCAACGAAGGGTCAAGGTCTTCTCCCACATTTTCAAGCAGGAGTGGTGTGCCGAACTGGATGCAATTTTCCAATGTTCTCATATAATCTGCATCTGTCAGCTTTATGACACTCAGGTTGTTGTCCTTTTCTGAATTCTTCACCCACTTGTTTGCTTGGCCTTGAGGATCAATCATTAAAGGCCTACAATAACATACACATATTAGATGTTATTTACAAATATTTATACTTATTATAGTGTAAACACTTACCATCTTCTTGAATTACTGACAATAACTCCATTGTCAATTGAAAAACTGTCATTGGGAAGGCCTGCAAAATTCCAAGCCCTGATCTTAATTGGATCTCCCAGAGTTTTACTGAGGGAAAACTCATTAGATGAGGGAATATTTCTTGACTGCAAAAAATATTTAAACATAAATAGAACTTACTAATGAGGCTTTTTTGTTAATTATTTTTAGTAATTACATACTTTGCAGAGGTTAGTCCACTCTTTTGTACAGTGCTGTCTGAAGCCTGCTGTAAAGGCTCCCAGATAAGCAATGACACCGGCCGAAATGAGGACATCCCCAGTCAGGTTGTCATAGGTGCTCTGCAGGTCATCTGCCGCTTTACGCCACCTAAAACATACATAAATGTAAACTTGAGAACAAGTTTAAAGTAGATAAAACCATTAACATAAGCATAAACAAATGTTGCTCTTTCTTTACCTTGTCTTCTCTCCTCCAAGACCACCAATAAGCTTTTCAGCTCTCTCCAGTTTCCTTGCACACAAATCTACCTGGAACTCTAATTGTGCCTTTTCTTCTGTCTTTTCTTCAAATGTTTTTTGAAGAGCAGCCAAACGATCCTCAACCTCTTTGAGCTCAGCTCTCTTTCGGTCCAACAGGGCCATAGTGGTTGCAAGAGACTCTTGGGCTACTGCCAGATTGGCTTTCTTTGGGGCTACAACCTATAGGCACACACAATTTCTATTTTAGACTAAAACCAATGACTTAAGATAGGACATGAGCCACACCAGACCTTAGCCACTCTGTCATACTCTTCCATTGCTTTTATCCATTTACAAAGGCCCTCTGCTGCTGAAGATGCCTTCGCCACTATACTGGGGTCGAATTCGGGATTAGTCATGTACTCGGTGCGAATCTTTTGCATCACAGCTGCCTACAGAGGCAGAGGAAATATAGTTCATATTTATTTATCAAGCATCAAAACACAAAGATTGAATAGTACACACGTTGAGAACATACAGGAATATTGTCCTTGTCGTACTCTTTTAGATCTCGTAAAAAATTCATATCACCCAGTAGCTTCTTGCTTGGTCCCCAGTAGTCAAAAATCTATAAAATATTACACACACTTATGAGCATATTGTTGACAATAACTAAAATATGATAAAAATGTAAAGAACATACCTTTTTACCAGTTCCAGTGGGGTCAGGGACTTTATCTGGTTTTATATCCTTCATTACACACACAGCAGCCATCACAAGCTTCACTCCTGATGGTGGGTTTTTCATTGACTTCACAATAGTGACATCAGAAGGCTGAAACATGGAAGCAGTTTAATTTACTGGAAGGTCAAAGCACAAAAGTTTCTATGGCTACATGGGACACATAATATAGATTAAAGGAGGAAATACCAACCTTCAAAGTATCTAAGGCTGCAAGAGCAGTCTCTAGGGCAGGGATGGCTTCAGCCAAATCACTCTCACACTCATTCTTTAAAGCTTGGGCCTCATTTGCTTTTACAGTCGCTGCTTCTTCATCAACACGAACAGGTTTTACTCTTAGCTTCCACTTCTTCTGACTCAACTTCAATAACCTGAAATACAAAAAGGTAGATTCAGTTGTCAGTTGGATTCCTATGCTTTATTGAAGATTTACAGCATGTGAGATCAAAAACAATTATGCCCACCTTCATCATTTTTGTATTGTCAATTTTGGCTTGTTCCAGTTTGGGCTGTAGGTCTATCAGTTCCTGCTTCATTTCTCCCACCTAAGGTATATAGAATAGAGTGTGTTGAGAGGGTTGTAGGGGCGTGAAATTACATGGTGGCTTTATTAAGTGTCCTCGTTCTTTACAGTTGAAACAGCTGTTTCTGAGGTCTCCCCACATTTATGCTGCCCATTAAGACAATATTGTTCAGTTCATTTTGTTTTTTTACTCTACAGGGAATCTGATTGTGCCATGCAGTGATGCCAAAAGTTAGCACACTATCCACTAGTGCAGAGGTGTCCAAACTTTTTTTCATCGAAGGCCAAATCACATCTCAAATGAGGCTTAGAACATTCATTTTAGGTCTGTATCACAATGCAGTGTGATGTTATTGGGGTTATAGTGGCTGAATTACTTGCTGTAAAAATGAATGCCTAGGGCCAATTTAACAGAAGGTAATGTAAGGGTTTTGTTTACTGACTTTCACATTACCAAGCTTCCTCAAATGGTACAGTCAGACGGTGAGAAGATTCTTTTGTACACACCTTCTATACTGTGCTCATTTGGAAAATGACTACCCACAATTGTGCCAAAGTACTTAAAAATGCTCAACACACAGAGCAGAACATTTATATTGAAACTGGAGCAGTTTCTTGGCCACATTCATTAAATTCCAACTTGTACAAATAAAACAGAGAAGATATAATACTGCAATATTGTAGAATATACAGTACCTGAGATTCAGCAAAAGCTAGTTTATCCAAGCCATTAGTATAAACGTCGCTTTGCCTTCATAACAATGTCTCTTTTTTCAGTAAGTAGCAGCCGAAAAGCTGCCATGAGCTCCAAATAGGATGTAGGAGTCACATAGTTATAACGGCCAAGTTCTGACAGAAATCTGCAACAAGTAGTAGTAGTTTGTTTAGTAAATAAGACTAAATGAATGCATGTAAAATCCCCAGGCCATACCTATCAGAGAGCTGCTTTAGAGAAGTGTGGAATGTTTTACATATTGGTATAACCTCATGTCGCTCTATTTCAGTCATTTCTAGTGTCTTCAGGAATGAAATAGCTACTCTCTCAAGAGCTTCTTCTGGCCATGGCTAATATACAAGAAAATGACAATGACATTTCAACTTGACTATATGATGCATTACAATTTTACACACATATGTTTTGAGATACAAATCTTTTACCTGAAACCAGTCAATAGTGCAGCAGTTAATGAGAGATGGAAACTGTCGCAATCTGTTTCTAAATGCATTTCCAATTGGACTGAAGGCCACCACAATGTGCAGGTTTTCTCTGCAGCGTGCAATAAAAAAGGCAAACAGAGTCAAAGGACTCAGCTCCACATTCTTGTTACCAGCCTGAGCAATAGGGCGTATGGCCTATGGAAAAAAATAACAAAATAAGAAAAAATACTGAAAATCATTTAAGTAGTTAATTGTAGTATAGTTTACCTCTATTATCTCTTGCTTTTCATCTACAGCAAAGAGATTAGGAACCTCTCCGGTGTTCAGGACACTGTCCACATCCTCAAGAAATGCTTCATCTTTGATTTGAGTATCCGTGAGGAGAAACACAGTCTTCTGACCTTTCACCCCAGCATTTTTCATCAGCATCTATAACAAATTCAGAGACAGTGTAACTACAAAGGTAACACATCTGTAAAGATGTTTATACAACGCTCACCTTGATATCATCCCTCCACTCGGTCAAGCCGTAGCTCTTGGAGATTTCAGGCTGAAACATGGTCATGTGGGCCATAAAAGTGGCTAGACGGGTTATGGACTGTCGACCACTGCCTCCCAAACCCACCAGCAGAGCATTCCCACCAGGTTGCTTTAACACACACGACTAATCCGAGACAGGTGCTCTAAAACATAACTATATGACAAAACAACATATTCAGCTGTAAAGCTTTTGATATGCATTCCAAAAATAACACTAGAGTATATAAAAATCTTACAGAAATATAACAAGGTTCATGCGGCTCTTGTTCATCTGGTTGTATTCTACCAGACAGGACTCCACCACTTTAGCAAATTTGTCCACTGATGGCACTTCAGCATACAGACGGTCCTCATCTTCCAAGTCAGGGGTCATGTAGTCACCAAATAAAAGATTACGCATGTCCTCTTCCACAAGCTTAAAAATTCATTAATTAATTCACCTAGAAAAACAACACACTAAGGTGGAACACATCTTTTAACTTACTTGCTTGCCCGTTTTTAGATGTTCAAAGACTTGATCAAATGATTCTTTGAAGTTATCGTGAAGAATGTTGCTCATTAGCCGGTAAAGCCAGGTGCGGTCACTGTCATCCACCAAGCGGTCGTAGTAGACTCGGAAAACCTCGTGAACAAACAAGCGGATCATAGTTTGTTTGCTTTTAAGCGACTGTTTCTTCAGGAGTAGACAGCCTTGGATCACTCACTCGAGAGAAGTCACGCAGGTTAAAAGTGTAATGTGATTTGGCTGGAGTAGGAAGCAAGTACTCCATGGCCTTCTTGTAAACCTGTGAAGCCCAAACCACATAATTTAAAAAAAAAAATGAATGTAGCAAAACTATGTAACATTATTGATTTTACTAAATTTACCTCCATGGTGGCTGTGACAATTTGATTGCCAATGGTGAAATATTCAGGGGTAAACTCATTGTTTTTTAGATAAAAGGACATTATGTTGGAGAATATGCGAACCATTGTATCATCACTGAAGGCATTAATACTGCAGATGTTAAAGTGTCTCAGGAAGCGAGATGTAACAGCATTTCTTCCTCCACCAGGGGGACCCATTGCAGAGATAAATTGAACGTCTACTAGGCAGATTCTGGATGTGTCCTTGAGATCATACCTGCAAAAAAATATAGATATAAATAAAAATAATCACTTCAGAATTTAAAGCAAATATTGTACCAGTTTCCATGGTCCATGAACTGTCTGAGAAGTTCCACTGGTGGTTGTGCTCCAAACTGTTCCAGCGCTGGCATATTCACATCATCGACAAATATTATGCACTTCTTTCCAATTGGGGGCCCATAGACTCCCTGTCTTCGCTTATTTAATCTGGACATGATGATATTCTACACAAAACAAGTACACATTTTACATTTTGAAATCTAAATAAAAATTGAATATAATCCTAATAGCTTACTTGTGTCTGATTGGCACTTGTGCGTGCTGAAAAGTTGATGAAAAAGGGTAGATAGAGATCTTTGTCTAAATTGTTCAATAGTTTGTCCTTGATATACACAGACTTCCCAGTGCCAGTGGGGCCAACAAACAAACTAGGCCTGAACAGAAAATACACAAAGTAAATAAAAGCATGTAATTTCTACTTAAACCTTCAAAATATGATGCTGTATGTCAATTTGAAAATGGTACGCAGTGCTTGTAAAAATGCTTACACTCCATATGTGATGCATAGGTCCATAAGGTATGTATAACGGACCGTGTCAATTGTGGGAACAATTATCTCTTGCACTTTGGTATTTTTGCCCCCTAAGTTGACATTCTTGATGCCGTCATTCCAATGAATCCAGCGACCTTTACCTTTAAACTGTGCAAAAAATATTCATTAGCATTATTCATTGCAGTAATTGAGGTAATTGTGTAATTGTAAGTAATAACACAGTAGTACCTCATAAAAGTAGTCGTAAACTAAACCTTTTTCATCTAGTGGACATTCCCATTTCCCAATGGCCTCAGGAATAGGGTTTTTGTCTGTCTTTCCTGTTAAAGTGGTTCTAAAGAACTCATTAAACTTCCCCCGGCTCTGTGCATCACAACTGCCCCCTACTGACCACACTAGAGAGAAGGCAAAGGCAGCCTGTAGAAGAAAAAAGAGAATAGAGAATTTAAAAACAACTGGAATCAAAGTGATAAAAGGTTGCTCTCTCAATTTACCTTAATCCAAACATGAAGGATTTTGTCTTCAGGGTGTGTCTTGACAGGTTCAGATAGCAGCATTTCAAACAGACGACACAGTGAGGTCACAGTGTTACTGTCACTAGTCGGGACAACTTCCTGTAGAAAAAAATGCATATTTACAATACTGATATTCTTAATTGTATGTGTAAATATAATTTTATTCATTTTCATCTGAGGTTTAGGCTACCTTGCAGTATTTGCGCAGCATTCTCAGGGCAGGGGGTAAAAGCCAGTGAAATAGTTCTAACAAAAGGGTCCTGCTCACTGGACTTTGTAAATCCTCTGGAAGAGTATTGAACCAAGAAAGAACTAAAGGCTCCCAGCCTAACTGAGATGGCTCCATATAGATCATACCACATCTACTGACTGTAGCAGGCTGCAGAACAAAAACAGTAACTACATTTACATGCTTATACACTAAGATAACATTTGCATGCTTATGTACTAGTATAGTATCTGGTAACTTACAGAAGCTTGTGAAAGATCCATAGCCTCAAAGATAAGGCTCATCTGATTGGACATCTGAATAATCTCACCACTCATCAGACACAGCTGTCAGGGTCAAATAAAAAATTTTAAGTGTACATGACATACAAATGAAGCCATTTTTTCATTACCTTTTTGTTATCATCAAGTACTGTGTTCATGCTCTCAATCCACAGAGTATCTATGGGTCCATCAAACACTACCCATTTACGTTCTGGTGTCTCAGCTGATGCAAATTCCCTAAACGTGTTAGCCACAATACCATCTGTCCACTTAAAAAAAATAAAATTGTACTGCATAAGGACATTTTTCACAGTCAGTAGCAGTTACATATAGACACTGATGTACCTCATGGGAAACCAAATCAAACTGCCCGAAGAGCTGCCCCATAGTGATGGACTTAGGGTTCAGTGTCCTGTAAATGACCTTCTCCTCCTCTTGACCCTGTTCATTCATCAGAGTCAGTGTGTCTGCTAGAACATGTAGAACTTTGGTCTTTCCCGCAAAAGATTCTCCAACCAACATGAAACTGGCAGAGATAGATACATACATGTAAGGTTAATGTTGTGGTAAAGTATATCATTTTAATATTTAACAGAAAATAAACATACCCATGTCTCACAATCATCATCTCATATGTCTGAATCATCTTCTCTAAAAATACTTGAGTAGGTTGGACATTGTGGCTTTTGCAGCACTCTTCAGCAGCTTTATAAAACAACTACAAAAAAGATCAAATAAGTTTATTATTGTATATATAAAGTATAAAGTAAAGAAGCTTAGTAAATAAACTAGATTCATACCTGATAGTCAGCTTTAGGAAGGGAGATTCCAGGAAACAAATCGCTGGTAATCCCATTGAATAGAGGAATATCATGAGACAGAAATTTAGGCTCATTAACATCTTTTATAGATCTCAGGAGCTATAGGAATAAAATAAAATAATATATTACAAAATGCTCAAAAACACATTGTCAGTGAAAGTTTATAGTTCATACCAGTATATCCTCATTCTCTTCTGGATACTTCAGTTTGAGATTTCCAGCTGCCACAAGTACAGCTTTTACGGCCCTCATGCCATAGTCGTAGTGAAACTGGGAGGAAAGCTGCTCTGAGCACAGTCTGTAGGTCATTACTATCTTCACTGACAATGGTTTGGCATTCAGAAAGCCGTACGAATACAGCGAGATCTCAGCAATCAAAGCATAGTTTGGGACCATCATGGCAACAGTTCGAAATAAAACCTGGGAAAGAAAATTTTTACTGTCAGGTTAAAAAGGAAAATATAGCAAATACAGCAACATAACAAAAAAGTGTTTAGTTTACCTTAAGATTGTCAGGTAGTTCCGATCGCCCTGCATAGCCTGGGTTCATGGTGATGGACACAAAGCAGTTGGGATTAAGTTTGAGTGTTGTTCCTTCAAAATCAAAGTACTCCAGCTTCTGCTCAATGGCTCTCTGAATACACAGCACTTGTTGAGCCACGACAGAAAGCACCTCCAGTTCAATTCGATTGAACTCATCAAAACACGCCCATGCACCTGAAGATGCCAGACCTTTGAAAAACTGTAAGAGGAAATGTTATCAAATGAGTTAACCACATGCATGTAGGTTTAACATAATGTAACACAAATTCTAACCTTGCCCATTGCAAGATAATCCAACCCATCTGAACAGTTAAACACAACACACTGAACAGCAAGTGCTTTGGCCAAATCCTTTGTGGTTTCAGTTTTCCCTGTTCCTGCTGGACCCTCAGGAGCACCACCCAGGTTTAGGTAGAAAGCCCCAATCTAAAAAACAGAAACAGTTTAAGAAATCATGATATATTACACCACTAAGTTTTTTTTTTTTTTTACTTACCAGAGTTCGGTAACATCTGTCTGTCAGTGGAGTGATGACTAAACGTGGAGAGTTGCCAAGATATTCATAAGCATACTTGACATCACAGTTGATAATTCTAACATGCACATTGTCGTTGGTCCAGTAGTACCGGAGCTGGGCCAGCCACTGGAAGTCTGTATCTTTTGATACACCTGATTGTAGTTGGATAGATATTTAAAAATAGTGTATAGAGCAACGAAATTGTTAAAATGAAAGTGGTCTGTGATAGGATACCTTTCTCAATGAGCTCCATGATGACATCTCTGGCATGTACATCTATTGTGACCAGTGCTCCCAAAGTGGTTCGAGTTTGTTTGGCCAGTTTTCCTCTCTCACAAGCTCCACAATGTCATTCAACTGACTTTGGAGCTGCTCATAGTACTTTTTCAAAACCTAGACAAAAAGGAATTTAAAAACTGTTCCATACCATTTTCAGAATCTTGAAATCTTAACTAAACTAATTTTAAACTAACCCCTGCTCTAATAGCTTCATGTACTTCCAATGTCCAAAAGATTTGTGAAGTACAAAGCACCACCTGTCCAGGCCACTCCCTCACCCACTGGCTGCGGGTGGTTTCAGCATAGGCCTGAAAAGGACATAATCACACAGTTAAATGATACACACAAGATCTTAATAATATTGGACATGAATTCACTAACTTCTCTCGAACGAGCAATCACATCATTAACACTGCGCAGCATCACATCCTCCACCTGCACCAGCCACTTCTCCACTGCCCCTTTGGCCTCTACTGTGGAAATGTTCTGGACAAGGGCAACACGCTCCCCTTCACTGCTATACATGGCCTACAGGAGAGAATGATTATTATTATGTTGTAATTTTAGTGATAAAATAAAATAGAGCATAATGTGCACCTGGATATCCAAATTGGGTAAGAAGTCCAGTTTAGAGATACCCTCAAAACACTTTTTAAGGTGTGGCTGAACTCGCAAGGGATCCTTGGTCTCTGACAAAATCTCTAACATTTCATCATTTGACAAGAAAAAGAACCTGATGACAGAAATTATAACTGTATTAGTATTGTGTAAATTTTTCTCTTCGTATGTATAAAGCGCATTCATCATCTTACCTTGGAAAGAAAAGGCGCTTCTTTTCAAGATATGCATTTAGACCTTTCATAATTGTGTCCAGTAAGTTATTGGATTCCTGTAGCTTTTCAAGTAAATCAGGCAGTGATGTTGCTGGTAGGATCTTTAAAGCAAGCAGAGCATATTATCTACTAACATATAAAGGCTTATGTTATAGCCATAAGACTAATACAACATTTAATATAATGCATGCCTTAGGGTCCTTGACACAGTGTCTCATGACCTCTCTCCAGATTTTATCAACAGTTTGGAAAAGACGTCCCTCCTCTGGAATCTGATGCATGATGTCCTGAGAGGAGAAAATGGGTTCCAGGTAAAGCCATTGAGTCTGCACTTTTACCCACTCATCAATGGTTCCTTGGATACGAAGCAAACGATCTTCCCAACTCTGTATAAAAAAAAGAAAATCAATTAATGTGAAGTAAGCCCGACATGTTTTTGTAAAATATCAGTAACCTGCCTTGATTTCATGTTCAAATGGCTTAATAAATGGTGAGCCCCTCATTGTCTGAGTCTTAACTATTTGGTCATCCAGCATAGTTTGAATCTCGTCCAGTGATATTAGAATAGATACGCCAGTCTCTCTGTGAGGCTGATGGTGGAAAGCAACATCATCCCATATGGTCACCATAGTCTTCATGGCTTTCTCAAAAGAAAATTCCTGCAGCGATAAAGAAAACATGATTAGGGTGAAAAGCTCAAAATGTAACTGCAATGTGTAATATACTTACTTTACTAGCAGCTGCACTGACAGACTCGAACTTGTCTAGGTAAGGAGTGAGGTTTTGTTTTAGGATTTTTCTTAGTGTAGTGCCAGAGTCTGGGGTAATATCATATCCTACTATTTTTGACATTTGGTCCCAGTGGCGTTGTCTGATGCCCGGATTACAGAGAATGGACACAAGAGGAACATGCTCCTACAATACAAGATGCATTGTTTAGTTCTTCAACACGCATTTAAAGTATTTTTACTACTTCTACTACCTTAAACTCTTTGATCTCTTGTAACACAGTACTGCACAAAGTTGCAGTGGGACTCTCAGTTTTGCTTGAATCTTCTGCACCCTCTTGCCCAGCTTTACTCTGTCTCTGTTGGAAAAACTTTAACATCTTGAAAACGTTCCTGAAGAATTCATCAACTTCCACTTCCATGCTCTCTCCATTCAGGCCCTGGAAAGATCCATCCATCCATCTAAACAGAGACACTATTAATGCCACATATTTGTTACCACAATAAATAAACTAAAAGGAACCATACAGTAAATCATACTTTTTTTCTGTGTGCTGCCACTCCAGCACAAGCCCAAAGAGTTTCTGGTAAGGTTCAATGCTCTCTTTAATTGCAGCTACTTCTGGGTAACTGGTTTGCGCCATGTCGTAAACTTTTTCTTCTTTATTGATGTATTCTACAGTTTCCTCTGCCTCCCGGATCAGTTTCTGAACAATCCTAATATCTGCCACATACTGCAACAAGACCAGTTTTAGGACAAATTTTATATAAGGCCTAGAAAACATAATATTCATAACCATATTTGGTTACATGAAATTGTATTTTTTACCTGTGGAATCAGGTCTAGCTCTGAGCATTCTGGGAAATCAAGAATTCTGTGGGCTAATTTAGTCAACTCTACCATTAGTTTTTCTCTTGTGGCAATCAGCTCATGTTTTCCTTTATACTTAGCTTTCTCTATCACCTAGAAAAAAACAACAACTCTGTATTATATTACAAGAAACAATTATTTTACAGCATACGGAGAGAGAAGAGGATTACCTCATCACTTAGTTCAAATGCCTGCATGATGTTTTGTGGCCACAGAAATACAGTTTTGTGAAGCTTCAGATCATCAGGCTCAAATATGTGGACATCCACAAGGTACAGTAATTTTTTAAGGGATTCCTGGTACAGAAGCATTATACACAAACTGTTATATGAAGGAAAATAAATCATTAGTTAAAGCCTAAGCACTGTAGGCCTACTCACAGATATTTTCTTCTGGAGTTGTGAGAGACCTGTTGTTTTGGTAAAGTTGATGTATTCAATCATTTCAACCATCTTTTCTGTGCTTTCTGGTACTTTCTGAGCATTCTCCTTGATTGTTTCAAATTCTGAACAAATCCTTCAAACACACAGAAAACGTGATATAAATTACATATGGATCCAATTGTATAGTAATTTATGTAATAAATTGATACTTAAACCACTTACTCCACATTAAGCACTCTGTGATTGTTAACTAGTTTCTTGATGAGTTCTTCAGCAAAGTGTTTAGCTTTGTTGGCTAGTCCCTGCTTTAGTTCTTCACAATCCAGATGGACCATTGTGAAGTGGGCTTTGGCTGGAAGGTCGATAATCTCTTTGGACAAACGATGGAACTCCTCCACTTTCTTAAAATATCAGACCGGGTATATATATTTATATATTTATAATAGCTATTGTAAAGTCTACCTTATTTTTAAGTAAGTACCTGAGTATATTCTTCAAAAGAATGCTCCTCCTCCATGAACAACTTCACTTGAGTTTGTGCAGTTCCATTAACAAGCCATGCATATTTTTCAACTGTAAAGGTAAACAAATATTATTTTGTGTAAAATAATTATTGTAATCTTATATACTGTCAAAAAGACATAATTTGTATAATATTACCATAACTCTGGAAATGTTTGTCGGGTTCCTCTAAATTTTTTTCAACCGCTGTCTTCAGTATGGCATTAGCACTACCCCATATATGATCAGCCACTTTAGCGTCCACAAATGAAGATTTTGACTGAGCCAGCCATGATTGGACAGTCGGTACTTTCTTTAGAAATATAAACAACAAATGTTTGACATAACTCTTCAAACTAATTCTGAGCCTGAAGTCTGAGCCACACTTACCTGCAGTGTACTTGTTATTGAATTAAGAATCCCAAAAATGGCTCCCCCTAGATCTTGTAAGGTTGGGTAAATCTCCATCTTTTCATCATCAAATGTCAGAGACATTCTGAACAAAGGCAGGCTGTGCTGATTCTTTTCATCAAAAAGACTAGCATATTGTGCTACACTTTTATGAAGCAGGGACTTAAGCTGTAAAATATTATAAACAAATTTGAATGTAAGAAATAGTATATGTGCTGTATATCCAAGTATTTGATCTTAACCATAAAAAATGACACAGTAATCTCACCAGATTGGACATAAGAGTGGATGCACAGTTGTAAAAAGAGTCCAACTTCTCTTCTTTAATACCCTTTACTGTATCTCTTAGGGTTAGCAGATGAATAATTTTCGGAAACCAAGTGTTCATTATGTGCTCTTCTGTTCTCTTGCACTCCAATGCCATTTTATTGTGTAAACTTTTACAGTCAACAGGCCCTGAAACTCTGAATAAACATTAGACATAATAAATCATGCTATTATTACATTGTTATTATGCCCAGTGCATTTTATTACCTGTAATCTGAAAGATCAGCTAAGACTATTGGAGAAAATGTGGTGTAACTGATGTCCAGTATTATCTGCATCACTGGATGAAGAATGTGCAAATTTGCTTTGATCTTCCTGTGGCTTTGGACAAAGCTTTCGTGCCGGGGTTGTGAGAAATCCAAAATTCTATTGCACAAGACAAAATATTTACAATATGTTGTCTAGGTTGATACATTTATTGTGTAACTTACTCAAGTGAAGTAACTTCCTGTTTCTCAGTATTCTGTTTGTGTGGTTCTTTTAAAATTGAGCCCACTGATGCAAAAGCAAAATACATTAAAGTAACCAATTCTATTAGTAGCAAACACACACTTAAGAGTAAAGACACTAAATATAAAAAAATACCTGTATGTTTGACAATTGCATTACGGAAGTCCTCGCTCACTTCTGTGCAGAGCTCCTGTAACAGTGCCTGTGTTCTTGGAGTATTTTTAAGTTCAGGCAGGAGTCGGCCAGTGATGGAGTGCAGCCATTCTTGTTGTATTGGAGTAAATGGACCACTTTCCACACGTTTCTTTAAAAATGCATAATTCATCTGAAAATAGGAGAAGCAAATGTTATTTCTCAAACATAAGCATTTCTCTGTTAATGGCATAAACCTGTAAACCAACCCGTTCCATCTGGTCTTCACTGATCATCTGTGATAAATTTGAAAACACTGTGTTAGATGGATGCTTGAAATAAATAATATTTTATGTAGACAGTGTCTAACTGTGTATTTCTTACAGAGGGTGGAAACTGTGGCTCTGGTGATGAGCTCTCTGGTTCGTTATCCAAGCACCGTCTATAGGCAGCCGTGGCCCTGGACACCCTGTATGACAGTATATACAATACAACTGCTTTAGCCAGCTAACATTGTAGTTAACTGCAAGTGTTTCCAACCTGACAGAACACTTACAATAACAATCGACGTTGGTCATTTAGCATTTTCTTTTTTCGACGCTTCTGAAGTTTCTGATGAATCAACATGCATGTCTCTTTGACAGCGTCGACCTTTGTGTCAATTGGCGGCAGGACTGGGAACTTTGGCAAACCATCCACTTCTTTGTCTTTCAAAATTCTACCGGAGGTTGCCATTTCTACCAAAAAAACATTAACATCAAAGGAAATCATTAAGTTAGATTGCCAAGTTAATTAATGATCAAAAGACTTTATTACTAATATATTTTAGTAATCACTAATTATTACTACTAATATCAACAAAACTATTTTACTGCAAGCAGAGGAGAACTAATTTAAGGAAATGCAACGAAGTGTTTGCAACTTAATTTAATCTTTTCTAAAGTCTATAGATGGCGCTGTTTATCCTGGTTTGGCAGTTTTTGATGGAAGAAATGACCGGAAGTTAACGAAAAACCCGCTAGCTTACTGCTAGCTTACTAGCTGTCGCCGACGTAGCTCAACAATATATAAGGTAATATAACTATTTCAAACATTATCGTGAATTTTGATGGATTAATATGATAATAAAGCCTAGAGTTTGACATAAGTAGACAATGTGAACCCCAAGAAAATGCCTAAAATAGAATTTAAAAACACAGCGTTAACGTTAGTGTAGTTGTTATTATAGGCCTGAACTTCAGTATGTTTCAAAGAAGACCACAGTTCTTTAGTTTAAGGTCATGGTTTAAGGTCAAGGGTATATTTCCTCTGTTATTTCTGGCCATTTTTGTTTTATAATTGAGTTGTTTTGTAAGTGTTGCTGTACTTACTGTTACGCAGATAAAAAGTGCGACCTACTCTGTGAAATCTACTCTGTAAAGTCTCCTCTGTGAAGTCTACTGTTTGAAATCTTTGTACGATTTGCTCTGTGTCAAGCTCAGCTAAATGTGCCTTTTCCGTTAAGCGATATGTGATTTTCGATTTGTGATTTTCGATTTGCCTACTCCTATAATCTCCCCGAGGCCAAACAAAGCTTTGAGTTAAAGCCCACAGAGCTCTGAAGTTTAGCTTTGAGTTCCGGAGTTGCCATGGTAACAAGGCTTTATGGAACTTTACATGTATGATGTCATCGGCGCCGTGAACCTGATGGAACTGGGAGGTTTTCAGGTTCTAGAATGTGATGATGTCATACTCCCAGACGGGGCAAGAGCCACGTTTCCCTGTTGACTGAGGCCGAGTGTTGTTAAGAAGTCACTGATATGAGACAAACCTCGATACAGTGCGCTTTCGATTCGATACGGTTCAGTAAAAAATAAAGGCTAAATCATGGAAAATCTTTGTTAAACCACTTCTTGTGCAAAGTTCATATGAAACACAAACATTTTAATCCTCAAAACAGCGAAAATGTCAAACGAGTTTCCTTCCACTAAACAAACAACGAAACTGTAGCTGTAACAAAATCATTTAGTAAAATAAACCAAAAATACTCTTGGTGATATATCGATAGAGCAGCCCACAATATCGATACTGTGTCATCACATTAAACGATACGATATATCGATATTTCAATATTTTTGCACACCCCTCTACTCTTTATCACACTGTACTTTGCCACGAAATATCCAAAAGGTAAACGCACAAATGTTAAACCTGGTATTGAAATGATTAAAAAACTCACTGTTAGAACACAATGGCCACGTTCACATGATGTTTTTTAATTGTTCTGGATTAAATTGTTTGGACTTAAAATATTTTCCTTGGAGTTTACATGGAAATAATAATTCTGAATATCTGGGTTTCACGTGACATTACAGGGCGACGTTTGTCAGCGCGCAAAATCAGATGGAGGGCAAGAAGTGAACCGACTGGAGGGAAATGCCGATGTGTTGTGCAGTTTACGGCTTGTGCCAATTGTTCTAACCGAGAGAAGGAAAAGCGATTTTTTTAGAGTACCGAAGATAGTCGTCCACAAAGGTCAGAAATGGGAAAAGCTGACAGAACGCCATAAAAAGTGGATTACAAACTAGAGCCCGACCGATATGGATTTTGCTGTGGCCGATATGAAACCGATATAATGGGAGTTGGCGCTGCCGATAGCCGATATAATCACCGATATATTTAGTGATGTAAAAGTTCACTGTAAATGTTGAATTGTTTAAAAAACTTAGGTTTGGCTCTGGTGGATTTTAAATTGGGTTTATTTAGGCAACATTTATTGTTATTCTGCCTCTTTACATCATATTTACAGACAGTAGGTTGGCTTAATGGCATTTTTGCATCACATTCTAGACACTAGTGATGGTATTCCAGTTCTTTTTAGAGAACCGGCTCTTTTGGCTCGGCTCACTAAAAGCTGCTGGTTCTTTTGGCTCCCAAGTGGCTCTTCAGATTGTTTTGTTGCAAGCAGGACTGAATCAGGACTGAACCAGGTCTAAACCAGGACTGAAAAAGGACTAAACCGGGACTTATTTATTTTATGCTAAACTACAGTCAAATATGCTCGTTTTTTTAATTTTTATTTTCTTTAATCCTACGTACACGCAAATTTCTCAAAGTTTCGTTTTTAGCCGCTGCCGCTGTCAAACCACGAATCACGCGGCGTGAAGAGAAAAAAAGTGAGAGAAAGAGAAAACACCCCTACTAGCATCAGGATCCGCAGCGGATCCGCTTTCGCTCCGCCAAATCCGCCCCACAGTCCGTCCGCTTTGCGGATCCGCTGCGTATTTGTTCCGTATTCGCATTCTGACTGTTGCTAACCCTAACCCTTGGATGGCCTGCTGTTACAGAGAGAATCTGCGGTTAAATCATCTTAGATCCGCACTGTGAACGTACTTTTAACACAACACTTTGTTTTTGACACAATGATTTGTACTATCAATGCGCGGATCCGCGGGTAACCCGGTTCGGATTCGCTGCGCGGACGCGCCACTGACTCAGCCGTTATCAGAACCTGAGA